ATGTTATTCAGCCAGAGTGGTTGGTTGTGTAGAAGCCATCAAATAAGTAATATATTTGCTTTATTAGCTTCGTTTTGAAGCTAAAAGTTAAAAGTTGATTAATATTTGCATAGAAGTGACATTAACGTTTATTGTTGTTGTTATTCAGTGTGACTGACAAATTTAATAATGGTTGTGAAAAAGTTGAGTAAACGCTCTCCAAAACTATTTTGGTAGCTTCTGCTTGTAGCTGAATCTGCAGCTTGTTTCAGCTACTTTACAGCACACCGCTGTAAAAGTTGGCTTATAAAGCTGAAAATGTTAGTTGGGTTGCCAAAAGATCCCTCAAAAACCGTGCTGCTGTTTTGCCAGAAATTTTGCACCAACTTCGGCGAAATTGTACGGTGGAATCGAAAATTTACACGGCCTTTCAATATTATTTAGAGAGAGTTAGTATCTTCTCAGATGAAAGAGAAGGTTCATAAAAACGTAGGTCACTCAACGCTGATTAACATACGTTTTTAGAAATTTCTCTATCATCGTAGTAGAAGTTACCCTCTCTCTGAGTGAGATTAAACAGCGTGTAGCTGGAAAACATATTTACACCGTTATTGGCAAATCAATATTGGCTCCCGTGTAGAATAGAAGAACTATGAAAGTGATGATGATTTGACAATTTTCCACGAGTGTTATCTTAAAGTTCATTTATTTGGATAATGGAGCATATTTTTAAATCTGGTTGCTGCTACATTGGTAGAAAAGCTTAAATCAATGTATACAACTAAAAATCTGAAAATAAGTTATTTTTCTATATTATAAATGAATTTTACGATTGCATTCGTAGACCTCACGCTATTAGTTAATATAGGACCATGGAAACGTGGATTTAGAGTGATGACATTTTCAGCAAAGATGATGGACACGACATGCTTAATCTTTTTAAGATGTTAATTTTGCGATTAATCCCTCTAAAAGTGAGATGTGAAATGTATTTTTTCATAATGTCGAAATACAGGGTTGATGTCTTCAGGGAAGTAAAGCCGTTGGTCCCGGTTTATGAGTTGATGGGTCGATAGGTAGGGTCCAGGTGTGGGAGCTGCCTCCCTAGCGTCGGTAGCATTGGTGCTCAGCGCGGAAAACAAGATCGACGGAAAACAAATAATAAAAAAAAAGAACGACGTTCGTGAAAACTTATCTTTTTTATATGTTTAATTACCGTCGATCTCTGCTCCGCAATCGAGTGCCAATCACCGACGAGCGTTGATTGCCAATTGGTGAAACCTATCGAACCTTTCAACACATGGGTAAGGACCAAAAGCTTTACTTCAGAGATGTTATGCCTCAGAACATCCCGGTGGCGTCGACTGGGATTGAACCCTGGCCTGCTGGGGTGAGAGGTAATCACGCTTACCACTACACCACTGAACGTCGTTCTTCACACGTCTTCCTGAATTATTCAAACAAATCTTGACGAATTTCTATCCAAATAGCACGAGTTGCAGTTTTTACGGTCACCATCAGCACACACTCATAAACGCTCAGTCGATTGCAATCGTGCTGGGATTAATTCGCGTAAAGTTTTTCTACTGCCATGAGATGTTTTTACTTGTTTAGTTAATCAAATATTCACGAGCTACTGATGATGCTTCTCACGCATTTTAGAGAGCTTATGGGGTGGAGAGGGTTAGTTATCGATAAAACCGTTCATTTCTCACATCGCTTCACATTATGCAATTCAGATCATCTGGTAAATCGTATGTATGTGTACTACGTGCTGCTGCATATATCTGCATCGAGTTTATCTCCGTCGGTTGAAGGTTAGATTGGAACCGTTTAACAGATAAGTTGCGTATGAGCACAGTTAAGATTTCTTTGTTTCGAGAATCGATTCCCACGTGGCGTTTAGTAGCAAATCATTCATAAGTTGAGTATCAGAACACTGAGAAATCTCACCCCGCAAGCTCAAGCTTTTTGTTGGGGAAGTTAGGTTGATTAATTTCATCTCTGGCTGTTTACAGTAATGTTATTACATATCAAGCTGAACATTGCATTAAGTCCTAAGTAACATTGATCAATTCTCTTCGTTGACTCTCTCTTTCCTTAATAACTTGAGCACATATCCGTTTCTTGTTGTGTTTGTCGTATTAGATGCTAGATAAAAGCATCTCTTATCGATCCGTGTGCTGAAAATACCTGGGGGAATGCATTTACATGCCTGTGGGAATAAAAAGAGAAAGTCGACAAAGAGAATCTGTCAATGTTACTTAGGACCTAATGCAATGTTCAGCTAACATAACTATAACTGTTCCGTAAATTAAAAATAGTTAGTAAAATCAACGATTTCCAAAGGCGGACCTATTTTTTCGATCTTTCGAAGCATATTTCACATTAGATTTAATCTGTCACCTGAAAATAGACCACAAAATGAGAACTGCTTTGATAATTTTGGTATTTCTGTCATATTAGATGAGGAAATATAAGAATATTTTTGAAAGATTACTTTTTGAACCATGAATTTGGCAAGATCTGATACTATTTATGTATCCCTTTTTATCTTGAGTCATCCTTTATTTCCAGTGCGGTTAGCAGGCGTGAAAGGCAAATAGCACAAGTATTGATGCCAAATGGCTTTTATTGTAGTTGCTATAAGGATTTTGAATGGTTTTCAATGTTTTTTGCAGCCGTATAACCTTTTTACAGCAAATCAATCTTGAAGTGCCTCGAAAATATGTCCTTCAAAACCTTCTTCGGGGTGGGCCAACTAGACAGATTCTAGTCTTAATGAGGTTTTGGTGGATGTAATAAAGGCAAAGCTGTCTTGACCAGGGTTTTATGAATGTCTTGTAGTATTTCATAAAACGTAAAATGTGACTTGGGAAGCCACGTGTTGAGTGCAAGGAACTCAATTTTGGGAACTTTTTTCTTACCGTGTAGATTTGCGTTTGTATTGAAAATCATCGCTATCACATATGAGCGTAATAAACATTGTTGATATTTACCAGAGCTTAATTATCCAGCCCAAAATTGTCAAAATCAGAAGTGATCCTCAAAAGTAACATAATCAAATTCAATTATTATTTGGAATATTGTCGACCTCAGAGCCTAAAACCATAGAGGTAACTCTAAGACCAGAAGGTCCCGAAGAAACGTGCTCAACTTTTTGGCTTAGCTCTGGTACTATCTTCGGTTCCAAGCTAATCAATGCACCCCTCGAAACATAGAAAAATCCACTAAGCCCACATTTTATCTGTCAAACTTTCATAGCGATTCAAAACAAACATAGTATAGTACTAGAATTTCGACTAGAATGGGGTACGCTTATAGATGTACTTGGGACCAATAGGCTAGTCAAGTAGTGAGCCAATTTAAAGTCGTTAGTTTCCACCGGTTGGTAATACTTTCAAATTCCGATTTTTCAATGAAACTTTTTTTCAACTCAGTTTGAGGAATGAGCTTGATATGATTCTACTTTTGTTTTTTGCTGTGCAGCTCATTTTTATTAATCGAGCTTGGATTTCATCGTATTTCTCTAACAATTCCATCTTTTGAAACATTGTTAATCATTGAATAATTGAGTAATTCCAAACTAATTCTTAAAATTATTCAAGTTCGGTGATCGAGAGTAATAAACGCAATTTAAAAGTAATAAGGTAATTTTAATTAATTGAAAAGTAATCAGAGCAATTTTCGGTATTTGATTGGCACTGACTGGTAATTAACGCTGGTAGATGAAACCCCTTTTTAAACTTTAATTGGTTAGATGGTTCATAACCTCATGGAGTAAGGCGAACCAGCCCAAAGCTGAAAGCCTCCCTAATAAAGATAAATAATAATAATAACCTCATGGAATGGGTCAGTTGATTCTTGTTTCGATTAGGCCGTTCCGGGTGTCATGAGACCTAATGACTTCTTCAACTGCCTCGACGACCTCGTCTACTTTTTGTGTTGCCAACGGCAAGTTTTAAAATTATTATCACCTACAAAAAATTTCTCAAGAACACGTGATTAACATTCCCATAGTTTCTATGTGCATTGATCGATTCTGTTAATTGACGTTTCGTTTGGTAACTCAGCTGCAAAATATATTTCCTCTATTGATTGACGTTTAGGGCGCTAGATTATACCTTAATTCTATTATCAAACTATGTGTCGAGAATATTCTGAAATGTGTGTTGCTTGGCTGTGGTTATCGAAAAAGATGAAGAAAATCAATCATTGCAGGTAGGACTAATTGAAATGCACTTCTGGTTTCTAACCAATACTATTACAGTATTATAGCTTAACTACTGTTTCGGTGGTAAAATGCTTCTGTCATGACACTAGATTCTCGTTGGCTCGATGCAACAGATCCAAAACTATTCACGTTGTTTAACTTTTCTGGTCCCTTCTTTTTCCGGGTTATCCTTAACAAGAACGACCACCACCATACCAGTGCATTTCACCGCTGCCATTGCAGAACACGTGCAATACGATCGTAACATTCAAAAAGGTTATACCACTCACTATGTCGTACATCGATATACCTACGCAGAATGATGTTACGCACTTTGCATTCCAATCGCTGGTAATGGACAAGCTGTTGCACTGAGGTCGATTGCCTAGAACTACACCGAACAAATTCTCACAAACACGTTTCACGCATTTACCATTATTATTTATTGATTGACAGATTTGGACCATTAGTTTTGGTTTTATGATTGTTACACTAAATCTGTATAGCAAACTATGGTATCTGCATTGCGTTTAGCACGATCGTTCGAATCGGTTAGGCATGCCAGACAGACAGTGGCAAATTATCATGTGGTTAACACTTGCAGTTACATGATAACTTGCATGTCTCACGGTCAGAAACGGCGACTCATCTACAGTCGACAATCGGTAATGGCCGGTGGGATGTGCATTTGAACTTGACCGAGTGTTAGAACATGATAATGCAAATCTGTGCATGCAAGCCGTGCATAGAAATGATTTTATTTAGAATTAATAATCCCATTTTTTCTGATTTATATTTCATTCCACAGATTGTGATTCAGCAAAGTGTCCCCCAGCCATTGACATTCCGGATACGTTACTTCAGGTGGGCGAACGGGCGGGTAGACAAATGGTCAACTGTTGCGAAGTGACGCAAATCTTCTGCGACCAGAGTGCGTGTCCTTCGAGAATTCGGTTCTGCGACGAGGAAAGGAAAATCCGACCAAAGATTGTCGAAGGAAGGTGTTGCAATGTGGATGAGTGTGGTAAGTTGGTCTACATTTTTGGTTGGTATTATCTGGATTGGTTTATGTTTTTTAATGCATGTTTTGAACAGATAACATCACACGGTCCGAGAAGTGTGAGGTGGTGATCAACGGGACCATTACCAGGAAGCAGATTGGTGAAAAGTGGTTCAGCATGGTCAACAGCACAACGTGTATGAACTTCGAATGCTTGAGCAGCGAATCATCGGAACCGTTTGTGAATTCGATTGGGATCACATGTAACTCCAGATGTCCTGAGGTAAGATTCTTTTCTTTTTGAATTTATAAGAGCGATACTGGAGAGTAATAAAATAGCGATCTCTTTTGCGAATAGAAATTGGTCATTTTCTACCCGACATTTTAACAACCATCATTGATTGATGGCTTTCACCATCCCGACAAGAGCTTTCTCCTAATTCTCCCAAAAATAGTTTTATATTTACCCCTCTTACAAAGACATGTTATGCATGTCGCTTGGAATTAGACGAATTTCACAGCAACTCGATCATTTTCTGGCAGCACCCTCTCAGATTCCAATGAAACTTTGAAAATATACAGTAGGATGCTTCATTTTGTTAAAAATGTTAGATTTCTTATAGGACACCCTCCAGTTTGATTCATAACCCCAAAATATTGGTAAAGAGGTGATGGTTGTCACCATGGAGACGCAAGAGAAATGTGATCCTCGCTGAATGTATTTTTTTAATTTAATTGTTTAGTAAGGCTCAACTGTCTTAAACACCATACGCAGCCGGTTACAATTGCTTTTAACACTTAATTCACAAGTATCTGCAGAATTTAATTAATTCAAAAATTTCATTCATTTCAGGGCTTCGCGCTACAATACTCCATCCAACATTGCTGCCCGCAGTGTGTCCAGGCGATGTGCCGTTTCAACGATCGCTTCTACTCGGAAGCCGAATCCTGGGAAAGTCCGGATGGATGTTTGCGGTATCGCTGTGTCAATGAGAACGGGTTACTTTCGATCACTTCCGAACGGAAGCAGTGTCCCATGATGATGGACTGTCCACCGGAGAATGTGATAGAACAGAACTGCTGTAGCGCGTGTAACATCACGATGGTCGATCCGGTTACGCCAATGCCGCGAACAGGAATCGAATATTACGATGAACTTGACTACTCGGACCATGAATGCAAACGGGAATGCATGAGGGGTAGAAAGCCGATGACGTGCTACTATAGATTCAAGATGGAGTGGTATGAAACGATGAGTAAGGCATGCTATGAGTGCCCGTACAACGCTACGGATTGTGGTCGTCCGCATTGTATTGCTGCGGATGGAGTTAGAAGGAGCGTAATAGTTATTAATAGGATGATGCCAGGACCGTCTATTGAAGTATGCGAGAATGATATCATCACAGTTGATGTGGAGAACCATCTCATGGGTGATAGTACTACCATTCATTGGCATGGACTGCACCAGAAAAAGACTCCTTACATGGACGGAGTTCCACACATATCACAGTGTCCGATCAGTCCGGGGACCACGTTTAGGTATACCTTCAAAGCAGACAATCCGGGTACGCATTTTTGGCACTCGCATACCGGAATGCAACGTGGCGATGGAGCATTTGGACCACTCATCATCAGAAGAGACAATGATCCTCAGAAGATAATGTACGATTACGATCTTTCGGAACACGTGATAACCGTTCAAGATTGGGGTCATCAAGCTGGAAATCAAATGTTTACAGCCCATCATCACTCCACGGGTGACAATAAACCGCCAAACATATTGATCAATGGACGGGGGAAATATTTCAAACGGTATCCTAAAATTTCAAGCATTACTACTACAACTAGGACTACGAACCGTCCTACCTCAAAAACCGAGAACGATGCCGAACTGATTCAGAATTCAGCAGATAGCAACCTTAAACTTGAGATGAACTTTGCGGAGCTAATCAACGCGAGAAGGACCAATAGTTCAACACGATCGTTAAGTCGTGCGAAACGACAATCCCGGACTGTCAACTTTAACGCTGTAGTAGTTCCGGAATCGGAACATATTCCGCTGAAAGTGTTCTACGTTGAACCCAAGAAGCGCTACCGCTTCCGATTGATCAATGCTGAATTCTTGAACTGCCCGGTAGAGGTATCTGTAGAAGGTCACAACCTGACCGTAATTTCGTCGGATAGTTTCGACATCAATCCGGTGGAGGACCTGGCTTCGTTTGTGAGTTACGCAGGTGAAAGGTTCGATTTCATCCTACGGGCCAATCAACCTGTAGGAAACTATTTGATGCGGTTCCGTGGGTTGATGGATTGTGATGAACGATTTACTTCAGCCTATCAGGTGGCAGTCCTGCGGTACAGAGGAGCACCCGAAGTGGAATATGACGCGTGGCCAAGCTATGATTTCCCACTGGAAGGGATGCAACTGAATTCGCTCAACAAAGGAACGGGGAATGTAGAGACGTTATCGATTGCAGAGACTACGTCTAGGGATCAGGAAGACCTACTGCTGCTAAAAGAAAAGACTGATTTTAAATTTTACGTTTATTACGATTTCTATGCTAAGAATAACCCGCATTTCCACGTGCCGGATTTGTATGGGTTTAAGGATGGTAAGCTTACTTAAGCGAACGCTTTCGACTCAGTCTCACAATTCGTTTTCAATTTTTAGTGATCAACAACACCAACCGACTGTACACCCCTCAGCTGAACCACATTTCAATGCGGATGCCGAAAATTCCAATGATGCCGGGAAAGGACGAGCTTGACGAAAGCCTTTTCTGCAATGCAAGCTCCCTGATGGAACAGGGCATCAACTGTCGGGAGGAGTTTTGCGAGTGTAGCCACGTGCTTCAAGTACCACTCAATTCATCCGTGGAGATGGTGCTGATAGACGAGGGATTCACATTCGACGCCAATCATCCGTTCCATCTGCATGGTCATGCCTTCCGTGTGGTTGGAATGGAACGGTTGGCAGGGAACATTTCCGCCGAGGAGGTGAAACGACTAGATGAGGAGGGAAAGATCAAACGACGGCTGAAGGGTGCCCCGATTAAAGATACGGTCACCATTCCGGACGGCGGTTATACCATTATTCGGTTCATTGCGAACAATCCGGGTTAGTTTGCAAACAATGTTGCTACCTAAAGGAGAGTTTATATAACTTTTTCATCATTTCCCATCAGGCTACTGGTTGTTCCATTGTCACATCGAGTTCCACGCGGAGATTGGGATGGCACTCGTCTTGAAGGTGGGTGATAAATCGGAAATGGTTGCAGTTCCACCGAACTTTCCAACTTGTTACGATTATACGCCTGATTTGGGAAAACAGTATTCCGGTGGACAGCAAGCGTTGTCCGCCAAAAAAAGTGCCTTCCAGCGATTAGCATTAGCAGCAATTACAGTGGCACTGTTATCGAAGATGGTGGTGTGTTTGTGATATTTTTATGTAAGTTGTTCATTTTTAAGCTAAAATTAAAATAAGAAAGCTTTTAGTACAATCACTACTGTTTTATTTAAATCGTCTATGTGAAATTCATCAGTAAGGGAAACCTCCAGCTAAGGGCCTCCCTTGGCTCAGTCGGTTAAGGCGCGGCTATCAAGCAAGACCACGCTGGAGGCGACTGGGTTCGATTCCCGGTTCAGTCTACGAATTTATCGGGTTAGAAATTTCTCGAATTCCCTGAGCAATAGAGTATGATTGTACTTGCCACACAATTATAATAATGCAAAAGTGGTACAGACATCAAAAGCTCTCAATTAATAACTGTGGAAGTGCTCAAAGATCACTAAGTTGAGAGCACACAATAAACTAATATGCGATAAGCAAAATAAGCATGAAATGCTGCTAGGAAGAAGAACGGAAACTCCACCCACTCTGAATGGGTGCAATTTTCCATAATGTCTGCTCTTGATAGAAAATCGATGGCTTCCAGATAGATTTGGATAGCGCATGCGTTGATTTGCAAAAAAAACGTAATGGTCGTAGGGAATAGCCGGTAGGTATGTATGATAAATGCAGCATTCTACTGCAATAAATTTCTCATTTATGTTCATGAATTTTTAAAACAATAATTTCAATGCAATGATAAGCGGCCAATTTGTTCATGCAATACTCAATTAGCGAAAAGTATCGAATCTAATATGATAAAATTGTTCTTGTAATATTATACCGATGAAATCTCGCGACACTTTTCAATTAGAACAATCTACATTGATCGATTCTCTTCATCGAATATTTTTTTCATTAATAACTAGGCTCCAAAAACATGTTCAGCTAGTTCTTATCGTCCAATACGCTTTACATTTTTTTTTTCTTTTAACAGACTGCAGAAAAATTATCCAGAAATATGAAATCAGCCAAGTTATTAACGAAAGAGATAGTCGATGAAGAGAATCTATCAATGCACAGCAGTCCAGAATGCAGATTTAGCTGGAAGGATAAGCCTGAAATTGAAACTTTAGACAAAAAGTGTTTTCTACAAAGTTGTTGCTTATAGTTAGGCCCTCACTTTTATGACAATGAATTCTAGGGTGGTTCTTATTTTCATTGAAATCTATAATTGAACTTTTTGTGTGAAGGAATTAATGTATACATTCTTCGGCAATGTTATAGCTGTGCAAATTTCAAGCAACCTTGTTAAAAAAAAATTGTATCTCATGAATTGACCGATTTAGAGCAATTTTTCTAAATTGAGTTAGGGTGTCTATAAAAAAACAATTTTTTTATCAAGTTTTCTTATTTCAAATTTCTCAGCAAAGGTGTCTTGAAATAACTTTTAGATCTTTAGAAGGCGCAAATTTTTGCACAGCAGAGCTTGTCGATATCTTTCGCCGATCAAGAGTTATTAAATTTTTCTAATCAAAATATGCCCTTTTCAAATGTTAATATCTCTGGTTGGGGTAAACAAAAAATTTTTTTTTACTGCATTAGAAGAACGTATGTTACGTTTGGGTTACAAAATGGTGAGTTGACAACCTGGAAGGAGCGGAATACCTAGCCCTGGTCCTCACAAGTTCCTACTTCACGCCTCCTCGAGTCATATGATAACAAAAGACTACCAGCTGAAACATGGACACAGCTGGATGGCGTAGCCTGGGCAATGTTGCCAGTCTGGCAATAGCAAAGTGAAGAGGTGCGACGCGAACACTGGCGCGGTAACCATAGTACGGTGATAGAGGAAATGCTTCACCAAACCTGAGCGTCTGCTCACCATGGAGGTGCGGCTCAAAACGGCGTCTGTTCTCCATGTTAGGAGCGGCTGATCACCGTCCTAGTGCCAGCGTGGGACTCTAAACAGAGCTGTGCACGATGGTCCCTCGGCGAGACAGGGGGTTGGGGCAGGCCCAACAAGCCGCCCTGGAAAAAAACAAAGTTGCAAATACCGAAGAAAGAAATACGGATCGGAACAATCGGCACAGACCTACGCGACGAAATAAGGACTACGATTGGAAACTCGGAACATGGAACTGCAAATCGCTCGGCTTCCCGGGTTGCGATAGGTTAATCTATGACGAACTTCAACCACGCAACTTCGAAGTCGTAGCACTGCAGGAACTTTGCTGGACGGGACAAAAGGTATGGAAAAGCGGGCATCGAGCGGCTACTTTCTACCAGAGCTGTGGCACCACCAACGAGCTGGGAACCGGCTTTGTAGTGCTGGGTAAGATGCGCCAACGCGTGATTGGTTGGCAGCCGATCAACGCGAGGATGTGCAAGTTGAGGATTAAGGGCCGTTTCTTCAACTACAGCATCATCAACGTGCACTGCCCACACGAAGGGAGACCCGACGACGAGAAAGAAGCGCTCTATGCGCAGCTGGAGCAGGTGTACGACGGCTGTTCGCAACGGGACGTCAAAATCGTCATCGGCGACATGAACGCTCAGGTAGGACGGGAGGCAATGTATAGACCGGCAATCGGGCCAAACAGCCTGCATGCCGTATCGAACGACAACGGCCAACGATGCGTGAACTTTGCAGCCTCCCGGGGTATGGTAGTTCGAAGTACCTTTTTCCCCCGCAAGGATATCCACAAAGCCACCTGGAGATCACCTGACCAACACACAGAAAACCAAATCGATCACGTTCTAATCGACGGGAAATTCTTCTCCGACATTATCAACGTCCGCACGTACCGCAGTGCGAACATAGATTCGGACCACTACCTAGTTGCAGTATGCATGCGCTCAAAACTCTCGACGGTGCATAACACACGTCGAAGTCGAACGCCACGACCCAACATTGAGCAACTACGGGACACCGGAGTTGCCCAGGGCTACGCGCAGCAGCTGGAAGTTGCACTACCCACGGAAGAGCAGCTTGGCGCAGCTTCTCTTGAAGATGGCTGGAGGGGCATCCGTTCAGCCATAGGTAGTACTGCTGTAGCGGCACTAGGTACTGCAATCCCGGACCGAAGAAATGACTGGTTTGACGGCGAATGCAAACTGTTAGTAGAGGAGAAGAATGCAGCACGGGCGAGAATGCTGCAACACCGCACGAGATTGAATGTGGAGCGATACAGACAAGCGCGGAACAGACAAAACTCGGTTTTCCGAAGGAAGAAGCGTCAGCAGGAAGATCGAGATCGCGAGGCGATGGAAAATCTGTACCGCGTAAACGACACACGGAAGTTCTACGAGAAGCTAAATAGTTCGCGCAAAGGCTACGTGCCGCAAGCCGATATGTGCAAGGACTTGGACGGTAACCTTCTCACGAACGAGTGTGAGGTGATTGAGAGGTGGAAGCAGTACTATGACGAGCACCTCAACGGTGAAGCAGCAGAAAACGAAGGTGGCACGGCAACAGACCTTGGAGCACGCGCAGAAGACGACAGGCTACCGGCCCCTGATCTTCAAGAAGTTGAGGAGGAGATCGGTCGGCTGAAGAACAACAAAGCAACTGGTGTAGATCAACTACCAAGTGAGCTATTGAAATATGGTGGTGAAGCACTGGCTAGAGCGCTGCACTGGGTAATTGCCAAGATTTGGAGGAGGAGATATTACCGGAGGAGTGGATGGAAGGTGTCGTATGCCCAATCTACAAAAAGGGCGACAAGTTGGATTGCTGCAACTACCGCGCGATCACACTGCTGAGCGCCGCCTACAAGGTACTCTCCCAAATTCTATGCCGCCGTCTGTCACCATATGCAAGAGAGTTCGTGGGGCAATACCAGGCGGGATTCATGGGTGCCCGCGCTACCACGGACCAAATTTTCGCGATTCGGCAGGTTCTGCAGAAATGCCGCGAATACAACGTGCCCACACATCATTTGTTCATCGATTTCAAATCCGCATACGACACAATCGATCGAGATCAGCTATGGCAGATTATGCACGAGTACGGATTTCCGGATAAACTGACGCGATTGGTCAAGGCGACGATGGATCGAGTGACGTGCGTTGTTCGAGTATCGGGGACACTCTCGAGTCCCTTTGAATCTCGAAGGGGGTTACGGCAGGGTGATGGACTTTCGTGTCTGCTGTTCAACATCGCGTTAGAAGGTGTGATCAGAAGAGCTGGGATAGACACGAGTGGCACGATATTCAGGAAGTCCATCCAGCTCCTTGGTTTCGCCGATGACATTGACATTATGGCACGGAACTTTGAGATGATGGCGGAAACGTACATCAGACTGAAGGCTGAAGCTAGACGGATTGGACTTGCCATCAACGCATCAAAGACAAAATATATGAAAGCAAGAGGTTCTAGGGAAGACAATGTTAGCCTCCCACCCCGAGTTCAGATTGACGGTGACGAAATCGAGGTGGTCGATGAGTTCGTGTATTTGGGGTCACTGGTGACCGCCGAAAATGATACCAGCAGAGAAATTCAAAGACGCATTATGGCAGGGAATCGTGCCTACTTTGGACTCCGGAGGACGCTCCGGTCGAATAAAATTCGCCGCCGCACGAAGTTGACTGTCTACAAGACGCTAATTAGACCGGTGGTCCTTTACGGCCACGAGACCTGGACTTTGCTCGTGGAGGACCAACGCGCCCTTGGTGTTTTCGAACGGAAGGTGTTGCGTACCATCTACGGTGGAGTGCAGATGGATGACGGAACGTGGAGGAGGCGAATGAACCACGAATTGCACCAGCTGCTGGGAGAACCATCCATCGTCCACATTGCAAAAATTGGGCGACTACGGTGGGCTGGGCACGTCGTAAGAATGCCGCACGACGACCCAGTGAAAATGGTTCTAGAAAGCGACCCAACAGGAACAAGAAGAAGAGGCGCGCAGCGGGCAAGGTGGATCGACCAAGTAGAAGGTGACCTGCGGACCCTTCGCAGACTACGAGGCTGGCGAACTGTGGCCATGGATCGAGTAGAGTGGAGACGACTTCTTCGGACAGCAGAGGACAACAAGGCCTTAGCCTGATTGGTAAGGTAAGTAAGTATGTTATTCTCAATAATGTAAAAAATAGAGGTATGTTATTTT